TGCGGCGGAAATCTGCAAGGGGCGACGGTCCGTTTGTTTTTGCCGCTCCAAGCAGCGCGCCGAATTGCCGCCGCAGACGCGGGGGCAGTCCATGTGCCGTTAGGGCGGCACGCGCGTTTCCGCGGCGACAGCAATTTGGCGGCAGCTTCTATGTTCAGCCGGAAGACAGAAGCCGCCGAATTGCTGCTGTGGGCAGCTGAACATAGAAGCTGCCGCCGAATTGCCGCCACCGCGGAAATGCGTGTGCCGCCCTAACGGCACACAGACTGCCCCCGCCGTCCGCGGCGGCAATTCGGCGCACTGCTTGGAGCGGCAAAAACACGCAGACTGCCGCCCCTTGTGGATTGCCGCCCCAAGCACCTGCTTGGAATGCTGGTGCCTGGAGCCGGCCCTGGTCCCTGAATTTCATGCCTAAAGGTTGCAGCTCTGTAAAACCTCTCTGAAGCTCAGATGCACTTGGCATACACTTTACACATTTTCAAAGAGCAGCACTTAAGAGTCAAATATGTACTAAGCATGTGAATGGAAGAACAGAAACAAACAAACCTTGCGGAATGGCCATTTCTGTAAGACAGCAAATCCATATTTCACACACTCAAGGTCTCCCTGGGCTTAAAATTTATTTTGCGCATACAATTAACTGTGATTGAGGTACACATTGCTTTAATCCTTCATCTTCCATTTCCCATAAACAAATGGAGAGATCCAGTTTTGAAAATGCTTTCTCAAGGTTAAAAAATAACTACCAAAAATCCCAAACAAATAGCTTTGTCCTGGTTAGTCCTACCTCACATCGTGCTGCCTGCAGAGTACTTGCTACAGTGAAGAGAAATATGGAGCAATGCGATTGTAAAGTTGGGGGGTGGGGAGAAAAAATTGGAGATGGTTTCAATTTTGTGTTAGTAGGTTTAAAGCACAGACTACAATGATGTTAGTAACTGTGTAATAAAAGAGCAGGAGGAAGGGAGATAAATCATTCTTTACGTGTTGCTGCATTTTAGTGAATTCTGAATCACACAAAAGCAGAAAACAGGCTTTTATTGGCATCACTAAGCTCTCTTTCCTATAGAAGGAAAGTATAAACAAAGGGTCTATATGTAAATACATTTGGTTGAGGCTGCTGTGGGGGTGTTTAAACTACGTCTGGATTTTGTTCTGCAGACCTTTTTCAATAACATCTCTGTTGAAAAAAGAAAACTCTAGCGATGTTGTGAACCATCTGACTTTAATTTGAGTTGGAGAACTGGAGGTTACTCGTAGACTCACATGGCTATAGTGCTACTCCCACCTCCAAATTCTATTTCCTTACACAGACGATGCCTGTGTAGCACAAGCCGAATGTGGGAAGAAGGCAGCCTCGGGTCCTACTAAATGTGGTTAGGTTTGGGATGGTGAAGATTTTCACTGCAGCAAGACCTGCCTCTCGCTCCAACATTCAGTCTCCACTTAATCCAGTTTGGTCACTGCACTGAGAATTGCTAAAGTGGCTCTTGGCCTCTCTCTCTCCCCTTATTGCAGGGACTTTCGCATCATTACCGTCTTCAGTAACTCCTTCTATTTGGCATCTTCGGCTCGCTTCTTGAATCCATCAGATCATCCAGTCCTGCACAAACTCAGCTGGTTAGTTCTATCCAGCTCTTATCTCAGATAGCAGTTTCCTCATAGGCTCCTGAGTTCTCCATGAGATCTTGGTCTTAGCAAAAGCATAAAAACTTAACAAGTACTCTAGTAATCCTCCCAATTTTAGGCTAGGGAAGGCTGAGCAGAAAGGGAGGGGGAGCTTTAGTAATAAGTGATCCATGTCCAGAAAAATATTAAAACATTATGGGAAATTAGAGCTAAATTGCAGAGTTTGAATTTTCCCCTGTGAAATCATGTTTGTCCAGTCAGTGCGTGCCTGCCGGACATGCAGTGAAATCCAAGGCCAGCTGAAACATGTCAAGCAAAATGAGACACTGAGACAGGGGAGGAGTCTGGCTTGATAGTTTTTGTTCTGTTTATACCCTGTCTCTTTGCAGGGGAAATTCAATGTCTGCCCTTAAGTGCAATTTCAGATTATGTTTCAAATGTCTCTCTTATTCATAGGATGCCCACTGCTGATTCATTACCTAACACACGTCTGTGTTGCCTAATGCAACTTTCACTGTCACTGGACTTATGGCATAACGTTGTTCTTGAAGAATTTTTAGAAATTGATTTTACATTTTTCCACACCCAAACAGATGTGCATATTCTCCAGTTTCCAGAGCGGCAAGCCCTGGCCCTGTTTCTCTATTCAGTGATGTCTGTGGAACTTGAACTTGCTCATGACTGTCCGAAAAAAAGAAGGGTGTTTCTCTACCCATAACTCCCAGTGCTATGGCCCCAGAGTGGCAGTAGCCATTGTCAAAGAGCTTGAGAAAAATATCAATGGAGAGATGTACTCCAGAGAACACCTTCTTATCCTATGGTCTCCACATTAATAACCCCAAACAAGTGCTTCATATATAATGTTCTAATAACAAATACCAAAGGAATTAATTATAATCCAGCCATTATTTCCTTGGATTCCCACTTTATTAAGCACATTAGTGCTGTTTGAATGAGCTTTTCTGGAAGAACATCTGGGACTCACATGAATACCTGATGAGATCTGTATGATCAGCATTACAGTACTAAATATCCAGCAGATTCATTGTCGTTAGCAGCATTAGATCAGTAAATACCCGTCAAGGTCAGAGTGGGCACTTTTCATGTAGCACAAGTGCTTTCGGTTCACGTCCCTGTCACTTGTAGTAACCCTCAGTTTTTGTTTCATTCTAGGTGCATAGCGTAATGTCCATGCTGTACTACACTCTGATTATAGCTTTTTTGCTCGGCATACAGGCAGCACCAAAGTCAGAGGACAATGCTCCATGGGGGTTTCCTGCAGGACCCACCCTTCCAAATATCCATCGGACTAAAGCAAATCACGTTCCCAAGGCAGCTCAACACAAAGCCAATCATCACCTTGCTGGGAAGGTAGACAGCAGAGAAGCTGGACAGGCAGCAAACATCACTGTGGATCCAAAGCTTTTCAGAAAGAGACGATTCCGGTCCCCTCGGGTTCTGTTCAGCACGCAGCCCCCTCCAGTATTGGGGGATGGGCAGAACATGGAGTATCTGGGCAGTGCCGATTCTCTTAACAGGACTATTCGAACCAAGCGGACTGCTCACCCTGTGTTGCACCGGGGAGAATTCTCAGTTTGTGACAGTGTCAGCATGTGGGTTGGGGACAAAACCACAGCTACTGACATCAAAGGCAAAGAGGTGACAGTGCTGGGAGAGGTGAACATTAACAACAATGTTTTCAAGCAGTACTTTTTCGAAACCAAATGCAGGGACCCTAAGCCAGTCTCCAGTGGGTGTCGGGGAATTGATGCTAAGCACTGGAATTCCTACTGCACCACCACGCACACCTTTGTCAAAGCACTGACAATGGAAGGCAAGCAAGCAGCCTGGAGATTTATCCGAATCGATACCGCATGTGTGTGCGTGCTCAGCCGGAAAACAGTGAGACCCTGAGATGGAACAAACACTCATGCCCACATCCTCCCATCCCCCCCTACCTCAGCCTGTAAATTATTTTAAATTATAAGGACTGCATGGTATATTTATAGTTTATACAGTAAAGAAAGAACCTCGCTATTTATTAAACTCTTTTGGAAACCCCTTGTGTGTTGTGCACTTAATTTAATGACGTAACAATCTTTTGGGGAAATGTTCATCTCAGCCTTGTCAGCCACAGAGTTTGGCCATTAGAGTGCTGTTTTCACCTGTTCTGTGAAAAACAAACATTTTGCACTTTTCATCTCCCCCTCTTTTTCACAGGCAAAACCTGCCCTTTTGGTGTGAAAATCTGTGGCTTCATAGAATATCAGGGTTGGAAGGGACCTCAGGAGGTCATCTAGTCCAACCCCCTGCTCAAAGCAGAACCAATCCCCAGACAGATTTTTGCCCCTGATCCCTAAATGGCCCCCTCAATGATTGATCTCACAACCCTGGGTTTAGCAGGCCAAATGCTCAAACCACTGAGCTATCCCTCCCCCCAGAATGTTATGTTCCAGAATGTTAGGTTCTTCTCCAACTCATGAAAGCGTGAAGAAAAAACACAGAAATATTGCTGGTTTTACCCCCATTCTTCTAGTCAGTCATTAGGATCCTATGAATTGTTGGTGCACTGTACAGTAGTTTTATACCACTATGAATATTTCAGAGTATAATTCTCAGTGTGCCTGAAAAAAATTGCCAAATATTTCAATTATGAAAATAACCAGCTCTAAGTTATGTTAGAGAAAAGATTATGATGTCGCCCAAGATGCAGATTTTTGTCTGATAATGGTATCATTTATGAGTTGTACTAGACTGATGGGGCTAATGATGTTTTTAATCAGAAATCTCTATTTCCGGGGGTGTATAACTTAACTGTAGGCATTCACTTAAAGCTGGATCTTGGCGACAGTGCCTTAATGTGGGAGCAAATGTTTTAAGGCAGCTAGAAAAAGATCTTTTGGCCATATTTCAGTAAGAATGGTCCAAAAACAACCCTTCCATTTATGGTTTCTCTGCTCACACTCTCTTGAGAGCACTACGGTTTATAGACCTAGTGTAGCTGCCAGCCTGAGGCCTGTAATGTGTGTTCCAGCCATTGCAATCTGAACAAAATCTACAAACCTTCCCATTGTTTCCTTTGGAAAAGCAGCAGCTCTCCCGCCAATAAACAGTTTCAAAGCAAGTATTCCAAGGACTTTTAGTGTGGTGTCTCCCAAGCCCTAGAGGATGAACCCATCTCCCAACATTCACCTCCTCCTCCTCACAAATACTGTTATTTTCTCTAAAAAATCTCCCTAGTTGTTACCTGGCCTGTACAAACAGCAAAGAGGGAAGCTTTTCACTCTTCACTCAATTCTTCACTTGCAGAGACATTGATCTTGGCATTGAAGGCCGCACATTGTCTGAAACCAGCCCCAAACCCATCCAGTCTCACTGTCTTTTCACTAAGCAGGAAACAACCTAAACTAGACAAAATATTCTTTGTGTTAAAATAATGCCAGTTGGGCTGGCTTCAGGAGGCATATACCACAAATTCTGACTGCCCATTGGGATGTACTATGTATCCTGACCTATCAGTCTGAGCCACCCTTGGGCTAGTTTATCACATTCAAACAGGAGTGTTTTCAGGCTTAAGAACAGCAGCAAACTGCTCTCCAGTCCCCTCTAGTGGCTGGGTATAGTGCAGAACAAAGGCACCAGATTAACGTTTTTTGCTCTCAACAGCAAGGTAGATGCAAAGTTTGCATGTGCAGCTGCTAGGTGGAAGGCTGGGGGAGGGCAGAATCATATGGTTCTCACTCTGACCCGTTCAAAGCCTCCAAAATCATTAATTCTTGCTCTGGGGAGGGATGTATGTGAAATAGGCACATTCCTGGTGTGATGGATAATGGTGCAGCCCCCAGCTACGCTGGGAATGGGTGCTCTTAACAGTGGCAGCTGTCACAATAAAATGCCCCCCCCCACATGGGGTCCCCTGGGTCAACACCAGCATTGTATATTGCTAACACCTTTATATGCATTGAAAAGTATCGTGGGAAGGGTTAAAGGTGTGCGTGTGGAGTGGAAAATTCCTTTGCAGGTTAGAAGAAGCCAAAGGGGGAGGAAGGGAGAAAGGAATGGGTTAACTCAATGATCCAGCTAGGCCCGAAATAAGGAACAAAACTGCAGCCCAACGCCAGCACACACAAACAAGCTCTCTGCTGCCAAACAGCCAGAAGCCTGTATCTCAACCCCGGCCAGCCGTAAGAAAAAAAAACTGAGCCAGACAGAACTGAAGGGGTTGCAAAATTAGTAAGATTGCAAAGGTCAGTGAATTGAAAAACAACAGTCTTGCGACCCTGAAACTGGTGTGTTTTGGGTAAACTAAGGGAGCCCCGGAAGGCCAATTCAGACCGGTATTGAGAGCACAGGGGACAAGGGTCCTTGGACGAAAACGCCTCCGTAAGAACCCAGGGCTTAAAACTCTCCCGAGAGCTCAAGCAAGTCGGAGATTTACAGCGGACCCTAGACAATCTGGGCACAGGACAGAACTCTCATCTACCCTTCCCCCCCTCTTCTTCTTACGTTACACCCAGGCTTGGCCAGCCTTGGGTTGTGCGTGTGTAAGTATGAAAGTGGGTTAGGGCTCGGGCACTAACACTTTCTTCCTCCCTCTGAGTAATGTGGGGCATACCCAGCACTCACCGCTGTTATTTGGTTAACAAAGCTTTAAACTGAGTGACTTGGTGTGCTCCTTCATCTCCTCCCCTAACAATCCTGTGGCCTCAGCCTGATCACCTGAAGCCCCAGGCATATTGGTAACATAAATCTGCCACCCAGCCTCCTGCACATCAGCTGGGGAGTAATGGAATGAGATGCCACTTGCAGATCAACTGAAGAAGAGAATTATCCAGAGTCGGAGCTAAATCCTTTGTATGCTTTTTGGTTGCAACCTTTACAGCAGGGGGGCCTCAGAGCAATGAATGATGTTACATATTATGTGTTCTAGCCAGATCTTCTGCCTTACCTGAGAGCAATGCAGTTAGCAAAGAATAAAATCTCTGTATGTCTTAGCTTTTCATGGTTTATGAACACTCTGCCATTATTTTACCACTGACATAACAAAACTGCATCTCAAATATTGTCTCAAGACTGTAGTTGATAATCTGAAACACGTGTAAGATCTGGAGTCTCTTCAAAGAGCTGTGGAATTCTGACATGGGCTTTCTTCTGATTGCAGTAGGAATCTGGGGAGCTGGCATTCTTTCCACAATCAGGCCACTTGCAGTTTTTTCTGTTACTCCTTAAAACAAATTCTTGCCAAGGATGAGATCAGTCCCAACAAAGCTCAGTCTAGGGGGCCTATAGTTGCTGATAAAATAACCATCATCATTATTATAAATCTTGACTTCGATTAAAATTTCCACTAGTAAAATATTCAGCTATACAGTGTGGTTATGCATATTTGTAGTGAGGGTATTGATTTATTACACCCAGCCTCTTGCCTCGGAGATTGATTGTCTGTGCTCCCACCACTGAGATTAGAATATTGCTTCATCCTTTACTACAGAAACATGGCCAAGGAACTATGCTACATGTTGATGTCTCTGCCTTATCATCAGAAAATTCCCAGAGGGAATTTATGCACCTGGATCCTGACACTGTAGTTAACCATGGAATTTAGAATTCCATACTTAGTAGAGATAGCTACAAACAGTGACACTCCGAACTGCTAAGACTATGCATCCCTGTTCTCATGGCCCTGCCACTTTTCTCATGACCCACTCTCCAGTGTGATACATAATAGAGAAGCAGGTGTTTGGTAGGGTGTTGCCTACTGCCCAGGAGAAGTGGCAGACTAAGAACATCTATGGAAATGAAAACGTATTATCGATGCAAATCTGTAATCTTTTGGTAATGTAAATAAAGGAAAAGTTTCAAATAAAATGAATTGACTTAGTAACAAAAATATTGCGATCTAACCTGGTATTTGTGCTTTCACCTTGGCTAGCCACTCAGAACTGCATATACACTGCTGCCATCGCTGAAACTGGATTTGTGAAGTTCCCCAGTGCAGTATTCTTGTCATTTATTCTACTTTTCAGAAGGCAGCATGTTTACACTGTCATATTTAAAGAATGTGGTTTAAAAATAAAAACAATTCTAGTTATTCTTTAGTTAGTTGGCAACAACCACTTCCATGACCTCCTGCTTCCCATGCTTCAGAGGATTTATAGCCAATCGAATGTCAGTGACAGACACGATTGGGAAGTCACTAAAAAACTAGAGGACAATTTTTCTCAAATTATAGTTTCTAGGAGTTTTTCTTATTAATGATGTGAGCAGAATCCCACACAAAAGCTGACTGGAAGTAACATTTACGTTCACACTGAAATGCTTGTCTGAAATCTTGCCTTTTACAGGTCAATGGAGAAGCTGCTTCTTGACCCTGACCTACAGAAGACAGAGGCTTGCATGATGCAGTTTGTATATCTGTATGTAACATCCGTACTGACCTGCCAGTAGTGGGCCAGAAGTAAGGCATCTAACAAACGTGGGTGCTCTTAGTAAAACAAGACAAAACGTTGTAATGTACTGTCTGAAAAAAAGGCATCTCTGGAGAAAAAAGTCAACTTAATCTAATGCAAACTTTAGCTGGAATAATCTACACTCTTCAACAGCTGCAGATGTGCATGCAAGAGACAATGACCTTGTTATGGGTGTTTTCTCACATGTGTTTTCCAAATTCGAGATCCAAATGCAAACTGCAGAATATTATGTGGATTTCTGACACGACCTGGAGGGCTTTGAGCCCATAAACAATTAATGGATTTTGAGGACAGGCATCGCTATAGTATTTCTTCAGTGACAGATATAATCTTGCTCCAGTATTGTTCATGTTATTATGTAAAGGGAACTGTACCAACTTCTTTCAAACCAGCACTCTGACTTGGCAGAGGAAAAGAAGCCTGTTTAAGCATAAACAAACTGACAATTAGTTAATCTCCTCTCCTCCCACTCAATTCAGTGCTCAGGATCTAAGAGCAATATTGACCTTGGCACTGGACATAAGGCGTGACCTGGGGTTCTCATTACCTACTTTCTTATTTTGTAACAGAACCCGTTGACATATGAGTCCTTATGGGCCAGATGGGCCAGTGCCCCCAAGCAACAGTAAATGAGAGCTAACACCAAGTGGCCAGAAGTTAGAGAAAAGGAGACACAGATGATTCCAGTTTGGATTTGACGTGATGGATCGTGAATGCTAGTCATGAATTCTAATTGCCAAAGGTGGCGTTTTGCACCGCTGCACCTGGTTAGGACTCTTGACTCCCGGGAGCTGTGAACAGTGGGGCGCCTCGCTGCTCCCTGGCCTCTACACCACTGTGCCCCCTGCATTCCGACATGGCCGGTGTAATAAGAGTGCTGGAAGAGACTGAACTTTATGTCCTGTCCTCTGTCACATGATCTGGAGCAAAGGTCAATATCATTGGAGGGCTGTAACCACTTGTTAGCCAATCCATATATGATAGGTGTAGTATACACCATATCAAGGGGTAGTATGTGCATGGTTTCAATATACATTATATATGTATATAAGTGTTGGGAAGTTAACTGAATGTATTATGCTCTTCCCATGATTCTATTCACCCATGTCATGTATTCCACAACACTTGGGAAAGCTGAGGTCAGCTTCGGCAACAGAAAACAGGAAGCCTGTCAAAGCCAAGATTCATGAAATGGTGTTCCCTAGCACAGGCTGTACTTCTACACCCAACTGTTTGGAGTGTGGCCTACAAAACTGAGCTAAGGAAAGATACAGACCAGCATGTTAAGGAATTAGTGGGCTGGATCTTAGGTGAGCTATAAAGTGCTCTTTAACTTGTAAAAAGCCATTGCATAAATATAAGTTGTTTTGGAGGAGGAGTCTTTGAAGCATACGTTCTGTGTAAGGTGAACATACTGCGAGACAAGAATTGCTTTTGAAAAGGAGGGCATGTATGTCTCCTTTTCGTTTTGTCTTGAGATGGTAAAATTTGGCTAAGTTTGGTTAGTTGGTCTCTTGAACATTCTTTATAATGAACCGCACGCATAGTCGATCAGTTGGCTATACTATTAATCAACACACTGACTCCGGTGGTTAGCTGCATGAGATACTTACAGATACTTTGCCTGTTCGGTGCCAGTGCTCTAGCCCTCTTGCAGAAGCCAAGGATGGGGATTTTACCTCAGGCCTTTACGGGGACCTAGCTGCAACATTTCAGTTGAGATCCAGGGCAACCAAAAGAGCAAATTCATCACTGACTGGTACACTGCCTTGTAAATAATTTCTCAGGTTCTCTCTCCATCTATCCCTAACAGATCTGACTATGTTAGTTTGAAGTTGTTTTCCTGACAGACTAAGGGAAATACGCCCAGCTCATTGTTAACAACAGTGTCAGAATCTTTATGAGAGAGCGAATAATAATGACAGACAATAGATTGTAACATAATTATAATCTCTATAGATGATTAGCTGAGAGGGTAAAGCAGATATTGGATCTGAACAAGTAACTGCCAGTTGAGGATGATGGGAAATATTTATAAAACACTGGCACATCCACATAGTATCACCTGAGCAATTAACAAATCTGAGCTTGATATATTCTCTGATTTCATTTGATGATATCACCAAGTCACTTATATTCATTCATGCTACAACAGCAGGATGCTCGGGACAATCTCTGAATCAAAATGAACATCTTTCATCTGACAAAGTCCTGATGTTCACAAGGAAAAATCATCATGTGGGCTCTGATTATGATCCTCACTGTGTAAACCACTTGGACATTTCACTCTTTTTCTATCAGTTCACACAAAAGAAACCACTTGGGTAGCCAGGCGACAAGTGCAAAAAGTAGATTTATTTCACTAACCCTTCTTTGCTGCCTTTGGCATATCCTGCTGGCTTGAGTCTCTGGCATTTTCAGGAACATTTTTTGGTCAGGATGATCTTTGTTGTTATTAACTGGAAATAATTTGCATTTTGTAGTCTCTCATATTTCCCTTTCTTTTTTTAAAATTTCTGTTGGTACCCAGAAGACCTTGTGATGTCACAGCCAGATACATACAATGTGATTACAGATGGCAATACACTGGAAAACACACTATTTGACTGGATGCAGGAAGCAAAGTGCCAGATGGAGAATGAGACTCGCTTTTTTAAAGATACAGGATCACTAAATAAAACCATAAACTTTAGAAGAATATTCAGCCACTTCTAAACATATAAAAATGCATATTAAAAACTTGGACACATTTCTTTTCCTCTTTGACCAAGTGAAGTTCACTAAGGCATCCAAGAGCTCAGGCCTGTAGAATAGGAACTGTATACCATATATGCCAATCTCTAGAAAAAAATATTTGACAACATCCAGAAAGTGGTGTAGACATCAGACGAGATAAACTGGCTGTATGTAGAATGTGAAAGCCTTCTCTAAGTGACTTGTCTGCCCTTTTCCTTGTAGCAAGGTATTCTCTCATCAGCTCCAATAGTGCCACTCACCGGTGTTACCCCATTGGTTTACAGGAAGTCAGCAGGAGAGTCTGGCTTGGTCTGTCCTCAGCTGATGTTCACTTAAGAGGTTTCTAAAGTCCTCATGTTTTTATTTTATTCCCCAAATGATTGTTTTTGGGGACAAGAAAACCGCAACTTATGATTCAATAAAATTTCTTTCTCTGATTGATCTGGCTGGGTCCAAGACACACTTTTTGTAAATGCCCTCTGCCACTTGGATGTTGGCTCTGATCTCTCACACGTAAGTAGGGCCCTACCAAATTCACGGCCATTAAAAAACGCATCACGGATCGTGAAATCTGGTCTCCCCCCTTGAAATCTGGGCTTTTGTGTGCTTTTACCCTATACTATACAGACTTCACGGGGGAGACCAGCGTTTCTCAAACTGGGGGTCCTGTCCCAAAATGGGGTTGTGGCGGGTCACAAGGTTATTTTAGGGGGGTCACAGTATTGCCACCCTTACTTCTGCGCTGCCTTCAGAGCTGGGTGGCCAGAGAGCGGCAATTGTTGGCCAGGCACCCAGCTCTGAAGGCAGTGCTCTGCCAACAGCAGCATAGAAGTAAGGGTGGCAATACCATACCATGCCATCCTTACTTCTGCGGGACTGCTGACAGTGTCTCTGCCTTCAGAGCTGGGATCCTGGCCAGCAGCCACCGCTCTCCCGCTGCCCAGCTCTGAAGACAGTGCTGCCACCAGCAGCAGTGCAGAAGTAAGGGTAGCAGTACTTCAACACCCACCACACACACCCTCCTTTTTGGGTCAGGACCCCTACAATTACACCACTGTGACATTTCAGATTTAAATACTGAAATCATGACATTTATTATTTTTAAAATCCTATGACCATGAAATTGACCAAAATGGACTGTGCATTTGGAAGGGCCCTACACATAAGCAGTTGTGAGGGGGAAATAGACTTAGTATGGCAAGTTACTTAAGTCACTAGGTTATATTTTTCCGCTGTGCTAAATGTTTGTTTTTGATTAAGAAAGAAACAAAACAAAAAATCAGTTTCCAAGGAAAAGAGCTGACATTGTTCTGGTTCCGAACAATGTAATTAGTGATAAGATTTCCTCTGCTGAGCTTTCAGCATTTTAAACGCCGTTGTGACAAGTATAGCTTACAAGCATAAAACACTATATAATGTTTAACAAGCTTTTCCTTCACAATATCCACCACTGCTCCTGCCTATCAATGAGATGCAATTTGTATAAATAAATCCTTCCTCCTGGACTGTTTTCAGATCAATTTCAGCAACATAAATGCAAGTAAACACAGTCCTGGGCTTCATTAATCACATACAACTTTTCTTATAGGTAAAATACAAAGGGTGAATCTACTGTCTTCAACATTAGCAATGTTGGAGCTAGAGCTCTGTATCGATATAACTTTTTACTATGTATTGTTTATTGAGGAAGTCTGAAAGAATTAGAATAATCCAAGATACTAGCAATTCCTCCTAGTTGTTATCACAAAAACCTCAATCCACATACACCTTCCCAAGCTATACACCACATTCCATTTGTTTCTGCTGTATCCAGAGAGTATCTGGGACACTGTGATCTGTACACAGTATTTTCATGATCTTCAGTCCATTATGTTAACTTCTACAGCATTTCAAGATTCTTTCGTTCAATCCAGACAGGTTCTGGGGTTTGCAGCCCCTCCACCAGGAGATGTGTTGAATGTCCCACCAAAGTTTTAGCATAGATGGGAACTTGGAGAGAAGAACTTCTACAAGTGAGAACCATGGGAGCTGTGTTCAGTTTTAGCATAGATGGGAACTCGGAGAGAAGAACTTCTACAAGTGAGAACCATGGGAGCTGTGTTCAGTGTGAAGGGAGCAGTTACCAGGCAGCTCCTTATTTCACAAGAGTGGCCCAGACATCTACAACTCGCCATTTCCTGTGTGAGATGTAGGTTTTGTGCATCTAGTTTGCTCAATTCTCTTTGGGAACTGGATTATTAAGACGCCTGTCAGGATTTCAGTGACGTTTGTAGAGAGTGAGATAGTTAATTGCCTTTAGGCGTGTTTCAATTGTGTTGTGTCTTGCTTTTTTCTTAACATCAGTGTTACGAACATGAAAACCCATTAGTAATATAGAAGCCACTTGAAGCCAGTCACAGAGGGCTGTGAATCAGGCATGTGATTCTGAGTGGAGATGGGTGAATTATTTATTGCAAGAGTACCAAATTCACCCATAGATCCCAAGAGAGAAAACAAACCAACAAACAGAATATGCTCCGTTTCAGCAGAATGGAAGTGACCTTCCTGGCATCATCTTTAACCAAGCACAACACTAGACGCACTGGGATGTAGAATCCAGCACTGCTCACTAACTGGATTAAGAGGTGAAAGTGTAGGTTTTGCCACAGGGAATGCAGTTCATTCTCCTGGAGGATGGAGTGGGTGGGGATTATAATCAGTTTGCATCACCTAACAGGGGACTCACTGTCTCATCAGTGCTGTTACTAAATGGGTTTCTGAAGTCTTTGAAACATGAAAGGGTGAAATCCTGTTGGGTAGATAATTACTGTTCTGCTTACTGAATTGATGCCAGCGCCTGGAACACCAGAAATCTCCTTCCAACATCTCCCCCCCCCCACCAGTCAGGTTATGGTTTATGAGGTCCTGCCCAGATGCTTTTTATTGTTATTACAGTACAGAGGAAGTTTAACATGATCACAGTCAAGAGTCCCATTACAAGACAAGAGCCACACATACCCTAAATACTACCTTCACAACCTGTGTGTATCACATTGGCTTCTCCGTTGTGAAATTCCTCATACTTGTGATAAAAAGAAATGCTGTTGATGCCAGACCCTCAGCTGGCTACTCTGTCACAAGCTTCAGTTTCCCAGAGCAGTTATATAAGTTGCCCACTAGTAAATGTAACAGTCTCTTCACGTCATGTCAGAATTACTGTACATTGTATTTGTGCTTTCCCCTGATTAAACCCACTGGCTCCTGTGGGAATTTTCATATACACCTCTACCCCGATATAACGCGACCCGATATAACACGAATTCAGATACAACGCGGTAAAGCAGTGCTCCGGGGGGGCGGGGCTGCGCACTCCTGTGGATCAAAGCAAGTTCGCTATAACACGGTTTCACCTATAATGCGGTAAGATTTTTTGGCTCCCAAGGACAGCGTTATATCAGGGTCGAGGTGTAGTTATAAAGATGTATTCTAGCAAAGTATCTCTAGTGTTGTTCTATTGGTGTTAGTCCTGCAATAAAATTTACAACTTCGGCACCTTCCTACATCGCTGTTCTATAAATGATGATGATGATTACGATCTTAAGAGAGGCTGGCTTCCCAAGCGCAGGAGCTTGTGCACCAGAGGTTCATCTTCTTATGTTCTTTGTTCTATGGCAAGCCCTGGGGATGAGTCAAAATTCCTTGGATGAGATATTTTGCCTCTAATCTTCCACTAGTGCTAATTGCTCCTGTAAGGATTATTTTCCACTATCTCATTCTAATGCAAACTCCCTCACTTTTCTGCCACAGTGGGAACATGTTCCTTGTAATCTTTCCAGACGTTTAAAAGTTGGCATTGAGTATTTCCTTACTGAATTTGATATTTTTAATTAGTTTTGAAGATTTCCCACACCCCTTCTTGCAGAAATTAGGAGCTAGGGAGAGATCTCAGGACTTTACTGTCGTTCTAGATGCAGGAAAGTTATAGACATGCTACAAGGAGCGTGTGATGGGAACATCACTGATTTTATACTTCATTGAAAGCCTTGGTAACAAGTGGTTCCTGGGCCATGCCTGCCAAAGACCAAAGGACTTGTGCAGAGATGATCTAGAGGGTTAAATTTGCTCTCTCCACAAATAAAAAACCACTGAATTAAATGGTATTATTATCGCTTTAAATGCAAACAGCTCTTTACTTACAAAATATGAGTTTTGACAGCCTGTTTACATTTCCAAAACATCTGTGTCTGTAACTCTTGGAAAACACTCCCTCCAGAGCCTATCTACCTCAGGCTCTGTCTAAAGCTGCCAACAACAGAAGGAAAGACGCAATGCTTGTAACTGGGGCTGTATTTCTTAGGATTAAATAGACTCAACAGTTCATTATTCTGTTACAATTGTTCTCTTTATTTCTTAAGGGATCAGAGTTGTAGGATGCTGGTAGGGGGCAGTGTAAGAGGGAATCTTGATCTGCCATGACCTATGCTGTACCTATTTTTAGGCTACACAGATGACTTCGTCTCTAGAGCTGCTGCTATTACACCTCTTACCAGCCATAAACTGACTTTGGAAATTTACCCACAAAAAATATTTCTGTGTGAAAGGCAGAGACCAGAAGGCAACCTGAATCGCTGCCTGGGTTCCACTGGCAGAACTGAGCCCCCCTGCTGGAGCAAAGCTCGCCTTGAGCAGAGTAGCAGGGCTACAGACCCCATTCTGCCAGTGACCTGGAGCTGACTGGTGTGGCCTCGAATAAGGCTTCTTTGGAACCCCAGCTGGAGCCTAGAAGTGCTCTCACCAGTGGAGGGTGGTGGCAATATTGCTGTTTGCCTTCCCCCCCAGGGGTGAATCCCCACACAAGCACAGCTCCGTCTGGGATGATGAATAAAATCCTTCGTCTTTTCCCCTTATGATGAATGATGCCTTCACCTCTTACTCACCTTGCACAGCACTAAGCATGCTGTCAGCACTTAACCAACTTAACTCAACACAAACATTTGCTTTACAGGCCTGTTTGTTTCACTGACTTGTCTCATTTCTTCTTCCCTGGTCAGTGCTGACATTTCTCAGGTCTGAGAATATTTGTATTGATATTTTACAGCTTGTTGCCTGTTAAAGTGAATCTCTGAGAGTCTCCCTGTGCTGCTGGACAGAGACTGGTCCCATGCCCTGTGAGAATGAATGTGGAACACTGTATCTGAGAGTGCCAGAGAACCATGGGCTTAGTTCACAGTGTATTTGACTTCTCCCTTGTGGAACATGTTTGGGTACCTGCCAATCTAATTACGTGAAACTTGGCCAAGCAGTGGAGCAGAGATGGGGCCCCCTATGGAGAGCTAGAATTGGAGACTTCATTAAAATGCCTCTCTCCATCCCATACACCTGCCTGCTTGTTTCATACTGGTCGTGTAATCCTATTATGTGGCCATCAGGGCAGCTCAATGGGATTAAACATATTGAGCATGCTCTTACACTGTGCAGACAGCCATTTCTTGTTCTTGGCTAGGAATCTTACTCCCCAGTCTCTTAGCTCCTTACATTCATACCCACTTACAAGTGGGTCAGAATCTTGCTTATGCCTTAGGTGCCAAGTCAAGATTAGCCATCAAAACACAAGGAATGTGATGCCTTGTCCCAGATGCCTTCCCTCTGCCAGCACTAGCGTCTGAGTACTGCAATTCGCTTTGGCCAATAAGCAAATCATTGTGCAAACTGTTGTTTCACTATATACTACTTTTTAACCACT